ACAACGATGAAGCATTTGTGCCTGAAGCTTTTGCCCTACGTAAGAATATATACCTTCTGTGGCTACAGTTAGAAATTCATTGCCATTGTGTTCAGCACTAACTGCTCTAACGGATTCGGATATTCCAAGGTTATGGCGATTACTTGTTCTTCCTCATCTGCGAAACCTTTGATTAATTTAGGTGTCGGAACACAAAGGAACTGTACTGAATGAAGTTGTGGACTCTCGGGTAAAAGCTTCTCTGAAAGGCCTAGTTTTTTTTTCTTCTAGTTACGGCGTTCAAGTTACGACAAGATTCAGAAAGTACGCTTTGTCGGTGCTTACACCAAGTATCTATTCATTGCCAAATTTTCTGCACCTTCAGTTTTCTTGGAGCAGGAAATGGTATGTAGCACGACACACAGAAGTTGTAATATCCAGAATGCGTTGTAGAATCCAAAATCTTAAATTTTACACGCACAGAGCTTGATTGTCAATCTCTCTTTTTCTATTTTATTGAAACGAACATGAAACTATCGAACACTTCTTGGTGAGCTGCCGACGTTTTTTTCCTTCCACAGAAAACGAAGAATCGCGGCAACGTGGTCTACCGGTTACGTCAGCCGTTCTGCAATCATTTGTGGTAACTGCACTGGGACACTCGGAGATTTTGCTAGTTGGATCAAACGCTAATAATTCGTCATTCTGTCCTCCTGGTCAAGAGATCTTCGGTCATTGGGAGGTTACCCAGATAGTGCAAACTAAACCAAGAATGCTTCATAGTTAACGTTGCAGCGAAATTTGATCTTTAACCTATTTTATAGCTCTTACAAAAAATAATCATATATCTAGCCTGTATGACCTACCCGACTCTTGGCCGACCCGCACGAGTGGGTAGGTGCCAATATTCCAAGGATCATCATCAACATCACCGTAATGGGTTGGAACATTCGACGACTGACTCATTGTGCAATTCGAATTATGTGACACCTGGTTGTTCCTTTGCTCTTATAAAGCGTTTAATTACCCATGTTAATGCGATTTCTTTTCCTACATCAAGTCTGCCTAGGGCCAATTTGCAACAGTTTCAACCACCGGCGGGATTTAGTGGTGGAATACAGGGATGGCACGCAGGGGACCCCGGTTCAAAGCCTATTTTGTCTTTATTTGTTTTGTCCTATTTCACGTGATAGTGGTTACGGACACGGGTGGCGGTGCCGGACAACTACGATGACAAAAAGGGGCTTTGTTGTGATCTTGTAATAGCTTTCGCGCTGAAACTGTGCAGCAGGACGGGACATGAAGGAAGGAAAACCAATTCGAGCACACACTGACAACTGAGTTGTAACTCTGCGCTTGTTTATCCTTTCTTTCTTTGTGTCCTGACCTGCTGGGCAGTTTTTCCAGAAGATGATCCCGTTCCAACTTGCCCAACTTCCAATGCTAGTGCTGAATGTACTTTGCGAAGAAAATGAAGTCGGTATTCCTTTGCCTACAGGAAGCATTGCGCATCTGATCCAGTAGACCCGTGGTCTTTCTCGAATGTTCAGTGATTAGTCAAGTGGCGTGCCCTCCACATGAAGAATGTGTCCGTATGCATACAGAGTGCGTCAGAGGGTATTGGCGCTTGAACGGCAGCGAATACGTCCCTCCGATGGAGAAGCCCGCCTAATAAATGTCTCCTCTAAGCACAAGCAGGTGAAAGAAGATCCAGAGTTTTTAGTGAGAGAAGCTGAGGTTATACGGAAATGGCCTGCATCGTTACCTCTTTTTAAAACGAAGCGCTCCTACATCTGCCTTCGCAACGTTGGCTCAGTGAAGCGGGATTTTTCTTGAGAAAGCAACATATGGGCACTCTCGACAGGATTTTGTCGCCGGTGTCGGCATCCACATCATTCACAGTATATGTGTACGTATTTATACATATGAAGACAAAAGAAAGAAAAATAACCCAGAAAAAGACGCTGGTGCACAGAATCAAACGTTTGACCACTTGCTTGTGAGTGCGAGGTGTTAGCCACTGAGCCACGAAGGAGCACCTCCTCCAACGTTGAAACAGCAAGCTATATAAATCTACCACTTACCGCTGGCGATGGACATCTGGGGAGCTATCGTGTTTTCAGCATTACCAGCGAGATAAAGCAATGAGCGCGCGTCGCCAGACCGTTACGACGCTGCGGCGCGTGCTCTCATCTCCCACGCGTACTTTGCCCTGTGGAAAGGGGGGTGGACACTCACGCGTACGCGTGCTTATCTCGTGTTGGGGAGGACCGTATGCCTTGGGCTTTCACCGGAACGATTCTGTTGTAGTTACCGGGCACACAAGGGTCACTTCACTCGCTGCACAGTCTCCATTTGCGAAAAGGGTGCACAGTTAAGACACAGCGAAGTAATAAATGAGCCGCTTATTCGCGTTCTTCTGTAGCTGTGTACGTTTAGTGCGTCATTTATGCGTGAGAAATGCGGGGCACGTTTCGATCTGCTTGCCATTCTTCGCGTGATCTTCCAATTCGTTGCTATCGCGTTCATTGCTTCGCCTTTGTGGCAAAGCTGTGACTTCTTTTTGACGCATCGCGTTCTCTTTTTTATGACTGTAAAAAAACTATTCACAACAGTTTAACTATAGCGACAACGGTATAATTGAACTCTCAGTATACTTGCCTACAATATATTCACTGACACTTTACCATTACTAAAATTGAGTAATGTATTTTCATTATTCGTGCAGGAGTTTTACCAACTGTATGGATAGGAAAATTGAAAAACGGGACAGCATTTATGTGGTTATTTACGTTAAAAGAGAATCATTTACCATTAACTAGCCCATCAGTCTGTCGTGTTGTACTTCATTTAACGTAATTAGGTTAACCCCACCAATGAAATCTTACTGCGCGCAAAATTGTTGTACTACGAATACTATGTACTCAATTTTCTTGTCGTAAAATGAAGCCGCTTTCTGATAATATCGGTGCCTTGTTAGCTGGGACATCCGGCAGTGAACGGCAGAGTACTTATAGCGGCCCATGAAGAGTGCGCTGGCACTGAGTCCGCAGACACATTAAGATGTTCATTAGAGATTAGGGAAAGCATACGTTTCCCAAATTAGGAAGATAATCTTTACGTATGCAAAGGATACCGTATACTACGCACAAGTTTCCTTTTTTTTATAGTGGATTGTATTATAATAATTGCTGAGGTTTAACGTTGCCAAATCATGATATGATTATGTGAGACGCTGCAGAAAAAGGCTCCAGAAATTTTGGTCAGCTCGGGTTCTTTAACGTGCACCTATATCAAAGTACACGGGCCTCGAGCGTTTTCGCCTCCGTCGAAAATGCAGCTGCCGCTGCTGAGATTCGATCCCGCTACCTGCGGGTCAGCTGTCGAACCCCATAACTACTACAGATCGCCGTAGCGGAGCTATGGATGGTATTCCGAATATCTGTGAGAGAAGTCGTCAACGTCTTTTTTTTAGATAATTTTACTCATAGAGTTTCTCATACACACACTAGAGGGAAACCTGGTGCAAGTGTGTATGAGAGCTGCAACGCATGACGCTTCAGCAAGCATAGGAATGGTGGATAGTACACGGATTTGCCTAGTCTTCGTACTTTACGTTCCTTTTGGTTTTGCGTGACTTGAAGCTGCTTTGCCAAGAAACAACAATTGGCAAATGTTCGGCAGTTACGCTTACACCACCTTAACATTTTAAGGCTCACCATTTCAAATCGGGTCACGAAGTTCTAAATGGTTCATTTTTTTCCTTCGAAACGAAACCGAAATACGCCAATAAACAAAGCCACAAGATCGATTCACCGTTTGCAAGTACGAAGACTATGAGAAAATTCGTGTACTACCCATCATTCCCGTGGTCCCTGAATGATCGTAGCGCCAGAGTCTCCTCTAGTTAATTTTAGGAAAGTCTAAAATATTACTACCTGACGCAGGGAAATTCCCACTCTCTTAATCTACATATGCTAACCCTCCACCAAGGTGTGATTTTAGGAATTTAACACTTGTCGCGCCCAAAAATGAAACTAGCCGTGGGCCGCATGCAGTGATTATATTCAGAAGTTTCGGATCCCTCAAATTACAATGCTATATTTAATGACTTGTTATTTTTCTTCTGTTGCATTGTCAACGCTTAGCAAGCTGTCAAAAATATGCTGGACTGTGACTTTGTTCTACAGTCTGAAACTACATTATCACCGCATTTTGTTGTGCGGCCACTTCCAACGTCAAGCTGTCCTCTAAAATCTATGCGCCTTGTTTTCTGGTTACAATCACAAAGGTTTCTCTGTTTTGCTCTTTTTCTCTGTTTTGTGTTCACTCATTGCATATTCTGTATCTTACTTTGTTCTTGGCTTTGAATATCCCATGTATACGTTATAAGTGATAATTTAGGAATTCATTATGATTGCACATTGAGTTCGAGTGTAATACTATGAACCCACTCAGGGGTGTGTTGTCACCATTCGCGCTAAGCGTGGTGACAACAAAGTATCCTAAAATATTGAGATAATTGCTTGAGTGAAGAGCATCACGCTAAAATGGTCGCTAAAACGATTATAGCTATATGATCTGAGTCCGTTAGGTTAGGAGAGTCCTGGGTTCACGCACAGAACGTAGGCCTTCTGTTGCGCTAATTTTCAAGACTTCTTTAAAAAAAAAACTGCCACTTTTCTTTCGCATCAACGCCATTTCTTCTGCGGTGTTACGTCTTGCCAATGGCGTAGAGCTCGTTCTTCCGACAGAATACTGTCTGTCGTCCGACTCGTTGAGCACGTTGCATCTGGAAATGCGCGCATTGCACATTGTTGGGAAAACGTATCTATCAAAACACTGATAACGGTGGGCCTTCACAGGTTCAGCTCACGCCAATACGCACTTGCGTATTACCTCGGACGCTCTTCCTCCGCGTGCCAGTGCCAAACTATATCCAGCGTTATCTTCCAGCCCGTCCGCTTATCTGTCGTTTCTTTTATTCACTGACATGTTTCTTTTTCGTTTCCACGTGCTAGGCAAGCGCAGTTGCTATCCAGCCCAGCTTGCGGACGCTGCTAAACGCATCTCGTCTCATCGGGGAGCTTGGCACAGTCAGCCGTACTCTCAGAATGGCCGTCAGAAATCCTTGGGTAGAGTGGATGCTCAGTTTATGCCCACTGGTCCTGTGGGCTTACGGTAAGAAGCACACCTTTGACGTTTCGATTGTTTATTACGCTTCCATTGCAACCTTTTCTCTCCAGCTTGGTCGGTGAACGTGCTTGTGCACGTTGAATGTCCTACTGTGTCACGTACGTCGAAAGTTAATGAGCAGCTTGAAATAGCTGTCATGGGCGTTTTATTAAAGTAAAGTAACAAAAGGATAAAAATGTTGGCACTACGTTTTTGCCGTAAGAGAAACAACGACATGATCACGGCCCATTAAAAAAATAACATTTTTTTTTTCACATCAAACCATGCTGCCCGTCGAAACTCGATAAAGCGGCCGTCATCTATGTTAACACACATGTACTTGACTAACCGCAATTCATAAAGTTTATGACATAGCTACCTCGAAGTTCCGCTTTGCAGAACTAAATACGGCAATAAACTTAAATACATGATCCCTAGTTTCCTAAACCAACATCCGCAAGTTACTTAGCAATGTGTATAAAGTTTCACCAACATCCCTGTTTAAGCATGTTGTTAAATCATATTTGTTGTCTTGCGTGCCTTCAAAGTATGAGTACGACCTCTAACATCATGTGACCGATGGCCTGTTACAATATTTGAAAAAAACTTAATTGTAATATTCCTGTATGTATGTTGCCATCCCTTGCAAATAGCGCTATGTCATGTTTCTTCTTTTTATTTCCGTGCAGAGCTTTCACTTTCTAGTGTACAATTTCTAAATGATAGTCACAACCCTGTTGGACAGTGCTTGGGTGTTAGGGCCATTGTCAGGTAGTTAATTCTGCCTTTAGCCGTACCGTCCATCGACATGTATTATGTTGAAGATAAACTATTCAATTCAATACGGAATTAGTCGTCGGTCGTCGGGAAATTTCCACCAACGACTACTTTACACTTGTGGCACTTCCCGTCAAACCGAAAGGGTTTAATGTCCAGGAAATGGCCTACGCAACTGTCACTTTAAAACACTAAACCTGCCCATCTGTGCCGAACCGCCACACATGTCCTTTTATCGAATAGTTATTTCCGTTATCTTGTACAAAGGGGACATAGTGGATTCGTGTGCACTTGACGTTATCAAGCACATAAAAACAATGGAAAGCCAGACAGACGCTCATGAGTGCACACACACACACACACACACACACACACACACACACACACACACACACACACACACACACACACACACACTTCTCATTGAGAGATCAGAGCACCCTTTATGCGGGAAATTGATAACGAGCGTCGGTGACTTTCACGGAATTTGTTATTATTACCACAAATAGAGAAAATGTATTCATTTACAATCATTTTCCATTTTATTTGTGCAAGCTATTTACCAAAAAAATAGCAGACATATGTTGAGACTTTTCAATGTGCAAATCGCACTGCAGTTTGCTGTATATGACGGCTGATGTGGATCTCAGAGCGCGTTTTATGTGTTTTAGGACTAACTAGGTACATTTAGTCTTAACATGCATAATTTCTGAAGCTAATAACTTCGTAGTTGAGGCTATGAAAGCTCCTCTACATTGGCCATGAATGGGCCGGCCTTGTGATGCATCTGTGCGGAAACACCAATTGCCTGGTGACTTGCACTCAGATACTAACAGCTGATGCATAAGGCACTTGCCACTAATTGTTAGCCTTATAAAGTGCGACCACCTAGTGAAGTATGTCAACAGTTGTACAATACAAAATACTTGCACGCAGAACATAAACTAGGTGTACTGCGCTGCTGGCCCTAAGGGGGTGTTAATGAACATGGCAACGTCATTAGTTATATTGTAGAATAAAACACATACCCTTTTGTTTGACTCTCTTTAGAGTGCCGAAGGTCCAATATTACTCCGTGAAACCAACCCTACTTTTTTTTCCTTCGCAGAAAAATGACTGACACTCCCTCAAAGCGATCAAATACGCTCTCAGAAGCTCAGCTATTGTAATTCATTCGCGATCTGTGTTTTTCAAGGCATTTGTGTTGAAGTGCCTTTGCAAGATCTCTGGGCATACTTTATTCCCATATACTTCCTCAATTTGAATCTCCTTACAGGAAGTCTAACCTTTGCTTCTAGATCAAGATTGCGCATTATTTCGTAAGACCTCGCGTATTCAAGAAGTATACACACTCACGAGGGCAATGAATCGTTACTCATTCATCTCACAGTTCCGGCTGCCACAGCTCAATCATGTAACGTGACACAAGTTCACACGTGCTACAGCGGCATCCTTGAGAGTTTTCTCGGCGAGTTATCAAGTGGACCACTCGACGTCAGCCAATTGGAGAGCCTGTGCACGTGAGTACACTGTCAGTTTTTGCGTTATCGTCCCATCATGATGTTTTAGGGGCGAAGCTCCTTAAAGCGGCATCCGTTCATCCCTAATCGTAGCTGTAGTGCGTAACCAGTCTTACACCTTGACCTGCAAGGTGGTGCCGGTGGGAGATTTCTCCTGTGTGTTGTTGAACAACAAAAAATTCGCAGCGTGCGCGTTCACTAAAAGCCGAATTCTCCTGTCTTTCATTCCCAATTAGCAGCCATTGGCATGTACATTGAGCACTATCTGAGAAAAAAGGGTTGCTACGTTACACTCGCTGGGCGTAATCTCCTTGGTTTTAGAAAGGTTTAGCGAGCGTTGGGCCGCACTGCCATGAATACAGTGAACTAGTATACATCATGAACTCGAACTAGTCAAAGGTGGGAAGTAGACACGAAGAGCAAGCCGTAAGAAAGTGTGTGTGTGCCACCTCTCGTTTAATCCTTGGAATGTCCGCTGGATGGCAGTGCTTCTATATGCGGCATAGGGAGCCTTCATGTGCGCGCGTCTCCGTGCTTTAGGGTGGTGACAACTTCAATCATGGCTGCTTACAACTGGCTAAAACGGCCGCCATATTTGGCGGGCCGCCATGTTGGTTCTGAGCGGTCGCTCATTTACATTGAAGGCAACGTGGGTTTCAACAAGAAGGGGGCAGTTTATAGATAGCGAGTTCTGAAGGCTGAAGGTATGTATTCTGCAGTTAGCCACGGTTTCGTAGAAAAGGAAAGACACGTTCGTGACTCTAGTTTGTATAAAGTACTGTTAAAACAGTTCGTTTCTCCTACCTGGTAGACCTACCGCATTGGCGGAGTGAGGATATTTAGGGAGCCTATATTTGCGTGGGGGAGAACCTAGATGTCACTGTGAACGGACTTCAATGTCCACGCGGCATTCCTGGAGCAAATTCACCTTAGCACTGCAGACACCTGCAGTACAAGGCTCGAAACCGTGATGTTTGTATGATGGTACCCATAAACGACAGGGAAGGTAGATCAAACAACTGGGTAGCTCGCGATGTTCTCTGTAAACCACATAACTCCACTAGCCTGTTTCTCATACCCGAAATATTGCTTTTGTCCGTAATATAATTTCCTGCAGCAAGTCTAGTTCCTGCAAACGAATCTGTACAATGAACTGCTTAAAACCTTAAAAGCAGTAAGCATTTCCCGAAAATAGTAGAGGCCCTTAATCATATTACACTAACCCTCCACCTACCCCCCCCCCCAAGCCTGTATATTAGGCTAGAAGAAAAGCAAAGGGGAGCAACAAGGGACAAACGAAGTTTTTCCAGGTCAGATTTTATGTGCAAACAGCATCCAAAGAGCATCTGGCCTTAATTTTTTCAAAATGTCCCGCCTTCTTTGCTGGAAGCTTGTGTCCACGCAGTGTGCCTACAATAAAGCAATAAGGCGAGAAGTCATACACTGCGCCGACCATATACGGAGTCCACACACACTTTCTTTACAAACACTAAATAAAAAACGAGTTCACGATGTCAAATCATCTTTGTGGCTGGTTATGAAACAAAAGGATGACAAAAATAACGATTCAGCACCAATCTCCCATACGGGAAATTTGAGTTATCGGCCATCAGCCGACTTTCTTAGTGCACATATACTCCGCCGTTCAGGACCGACAGACAAACAGAAGGGTGGACTGACATGAACAGTAAATCTGTAGCATTCTATATTATTAAAGCGAAATCCTTTTTGCTATTGTTGAGCTGATTTTCGGTGTGATTCGCGTGTCCTTGAAAGGAAGAACGAATACCCCATGCCAAGTCAGCATAAAATTTAGTTCCGTTGCAACTGTGCAAGACTACAAGAGTCTACAGGGAACGGGTTCGCCAGCTCGTCTGTCTACCTCTCCGAATGCCCTTCTTCAGTGACCTAATTGAAAGTGCCGGAACGCGAAAATCTGCCAGCAAAGGAAGTTACGAACGCGAGCGTCTGTTGGTGGTTTACGGGCCCGGCGCGCGTTTCCCGCGACGAATGCGGTGACAGCTTCGGAAACCGATGAAACGCTGATAGCGAATGCATGCAGGACAACACGTTCAACTAGTCATATCATTCGATTGGTGAACCACACTTCTACTACGAGGATAAACAAACATACTCAAATTTATCAGCTTTCGCTTGCATAACCCGGCGTAGCTGAACGGAGCCTGATTCATTTTTCGCTGTGCAAGTTGTTGTGTTTACTTTGCTCAAACTACCTTTCATCACATGAAAAAGTCAATAATTTCACAAAATATGCAGCGGTATACTCCATCCACACGCAATATAACGTGTACTCACCTCAAAAACACGGGGAGAAATAGTCGGCTCCAAGCAATCTCGTTTCACTTGTGTTATTCAGCGTTTCCGTCACCTAGAGCAAGTCGGGAGGTGCGACAGTCTCCAGTTGGCTTTGCATTGCGGCACGCAGTACCCTGGCATTTACACTTCAAAGTTATTGTGAATGCGCTTAGCGCGAGGACGGTGTCGTAGCGGAAGCTACGTCTACGGTGTAGTCAAACGCAGCTCATACTGCAACTTGCACACCCGCGCCAACATTCTGCTGGTGCAGAGCGGCGGAGCAGGAACGCCTGGCCGCAAGAACCAACATGGCGCTTGTTGTCAAGGGGGGGCTGGCAACATTATGTTTTAATGGGCGGCGGCAAGTGGTGGGTAAAAGGCTGACACCACCCTAAAACACAAGAGACGCGCGCACATGAAGGCTCCCTAATGCAGCATTATGATGAAAAGATGCGAGATGGTAGTACTTGGAGTGTTGATATAGATGGACGAACGGACACACAGACAGATGCATGGACGGACGCATGGATGGCTGCACGGACGGATGGACGCATGGACGGACGCAGGGGCGGATGCATGGACGAATGCAGGAACGGACGCACGAATGGACGTGCGGACGCACCAACCGACGCACGCATGAATGGGCGGATGGGCGCACAGACGGTAACGCAGACGGACGCATGGACGAACGGAAGCAGGAAAGAATGGACGGACAGGTGGCACATACCCGAGAAAGCAGTCCTTAGAATGTCCGCTGAATGGTGGTACTTATATATGATGAATACATAATGAAAAGATGGGATATGGCGATACTTGAAGTGTTCACTAGAAAGGCGGACGAAATATATGGACGAACGGATGGATGCACAGACGGACAGACAGACAGCACCGCCGGTCACACAGATGGACGGACACATGGACGAACGCAAGCAAGAACGAATGGACGGACGGAAACACGGATGGACTAGCAAACGCTTCGCCCTACCAATCATCATTTACTCCGTCGATATGCTGTGATTTTTTTTGTGGGTGTATCTTTTTGGAAATAAATCTTCAAATTTCGAGACAGCACTCACCCTGTGCACTCCGTGTTCTTTATCTTCGTCTTTAGCGCTGCACATATATTCTAACGAGTACAACTTGCCATTCTACCATTAGAATTTCTCACAGAACCCTTTTCTTTATTTTTTGTGCTGTTGATCTTATTTTTGATTTGCTGGAAAGAGCTTGAACTCTGCTTTTTGTTGTGACTTTGTGTTTTGTTGGCTATAAAACGGTTATTACGCAGGCTTTATGAACGGTGCAGCACTTATGTTTTTTTTTTGTTGGAAATTCACGTTTACTGAGGTATGCAGAGAGCGGCGATAAAAAACATCGCAACTCAGTTGCAGCTAAAAGTCAGAAAATTCATGTCTCAGTGTGTGGACACCATACCATCTATCACTGCAATCATGGCTACAGTATGAGTACTTTAATTTTAGGCACCGTTCTTGCTAATATAGCTGAAGTAACATGATTGCAAGAGTCAACACCTGGGTGTGTTTAGGCATACTTGAAAAGCAAAGACGTGCCAATGAAATTAAAAGAAATAAGAAAAGTCTGAATAATGGTGAACATCATTCATATACTGTAGTAAAGCTTTGGTCAAACGTATTTACACACGATACTTTGGGTGTGCAATCTTCCTTTTACGCAAATTGAAGGCGACCATCATTCTAATCTATTCTTACTATTGCAGACTCAGAGACTTCAACAGATATTTCGCACGGTACTGAACAATGCTTATACGGGAACTCCTGCACAGACTTTGAGGAGGAAAGAACTTTTTTCAGAGTCCGGCGAGTAGATGGGGTGGGCGATTGGCCCCGCCTAAGTTACGGCCAGGAGTCCTTGAATCCTGGCGGCTTCCTCGGCCCGCTGGACGGCCCGCATTTGGTCTTCGAGGACGGAACTGAGCATTTCGGCTTCCCAGCGCGCGCGAAGGCTGTCAGCAGAGGCCGCATACTTGTTATGAGTACTAATCCCTCTACATTCCCATAACATATGCTCCAGAGTGGCTCTGGAGTCGCAACGCTTGCACCTGTCCGTTTTGTATATATCAGGATATATAATGTGCGATAGTGCAGAATTCGGATATGTCCTAGTTTGTAACTGCCGCCATTCGACAGACTGTCTTTTTGTTAATTTTGGGTGAGGGGCGGGAATATGCCCCTTTGTAATCTATAATGTTTTGTAATTTCATTGTATCTGGTCATTCTGTCTTCCCACTCCCACTCGTCTGCCACGCCGTAATCACCGGAGGAGGTTGGGGCGGCACTTGAGAGGGCAGCTCGGTCGGTGAGCCCTGGAGCTGCGTCATGTACAGCCCCATTGTTGCTGTCCCCCGCGATGGCATGAGCAGGTGTCCATATAATATATGTATTTCTGGGGCTTGTTCGACATCCTCCTTTGAGAATACGTAGTGCCTCCGGCGAGATGCGGCCATTGGCAAAGTTTCTAACTGCCGTTTGAGAGTCACTGACTGTCACGGTTGCGTTTGTCTGAGCTACAGCGAGCGCTATGGCTACCTTTTCCGCTGTCTCGGTGCTTGTGGTGCGTATCGTTGCACATGTCGTACAGCGTTTATCGCTATCGATTACGGCTGCGGTAAACCCCCGTTTGCACTTGTATCCAGCAGCGTCTAC